GAGCATACAATGGAGTCAAGATAGTCTCTTCAGTAAATGGTTTTGGGAAAATTAGACAGATACATGCAAAAAAATGAAGCTAGACCACAAAATTACACCATACACTAAAAAAAACTCAAAATGGATAAAAGAGTTAAACATAAGATGAGAAACCATAAAAATCTTAGAAGAAGCCACAGGCAGCAAAATATCAGATATATATGATAGCAATATCTTTACTGATACATCTCCCAGGACAATAGAAACTAAGGAGAAAATAAACAAAAGGGACTACATCAAAATAAAAAGCTTCTGCACAACAAAAGAAACCATCAATAAAACAACAACAAAGCCTGCTACATGGGAGAACATATTTGTCAATGTTACATTTGATAAGGATTTAATCTCCGAACTGTATAGGGAATTTATATAACTTAACAAAAGGAAGGTAAACAATCCAACAAAAAAATAAGCAGAGGTCCTAAATAGACACTTTCCCAAAATTGACATACAGAAGGCCAAAAGACATATGAAAAAATGTTCAATGTCACTAATCATCAGAGAGATGCAAATCAGAACGACAACGAGGTACCCTCTCACACATGTCAGAATGGCTATCATCAACAAATGACAAGTGCTGGTGTGGATGTGGAGAAAAAGGAATCTGTGTACATGGCAGGTGGGAATGCAGACTGGTGTAGCCACTGTGGAAAACAGTATGGAGATTCCTAAAATAATTAAAAATGGAACTTCCTTTTGACCCAGTAATCCTACTTTTAGGAATATATTTCAAGAAATCAGAAACACCAATCAGAAAGAATATATACACCCCTATGTTCATAGCAGCACAATTTACAATAGCTAAGATTTGGAAACAGACCAAGTGCCCATCAGCAGATGAGTGGATTAAAAAAGGGTGGTACAGCTATACAATGGAATACTACACTTCTGTAAAAAGGAAAGAACTTATAATTTGCAACTGCATGGACTGACCTGGAGAGCATTATGCTAGGTGGAATAAACCAGTCGTAGAAAGATAAATATCATATGATCTCACTCGTTTGTGGAATATAATGAACAACATAAACTGATGAACAAAAATAGATACAGTGACAGAGAAGCATCAGACTGCCAAACCTCAGAGGGGAAGCAGGGGACTAGGGGGGGCAGGTAAGAGATCAACCAAAGGACTTGTATTCATGCATATAAGCATAACCAATGAACACTGACAGGAGGGGTGTGAGGGCCTGTGCCGGGTGGCAGGAGCAGGTAGGGAGAGGTCAATGGGGGGGAGGGTGGCGGGGAGGGAACAGAGACATATGTAATACTTTCAACAGTAAAGAATTAAAAAAAAACTTTTTATAGAACTAATTCTTTATCATCTCCTCTATCTCCTCAGATATTACTCTGGAATTATAATGAACCTCATCAGTTTATTTAACTTAAACATAGCTTCCTTGAAAATGATTTCACCATCAAACCAAACAAGTTCAAAATTGTGTAAAAGTTCAGATTGCCACTTCTCAGATAATAACAAGAAATCTCAGCCTACTTCTATATTTATTTCTAATTGGACCAAAATATACTGCAAATTCTAATAGGTTTTCTTCTTTTCAAGACATCCTGCCATATCTAAGTGTGTCAGCTATATGGCATGATGCTCTTGAGTACTAGAGTAGGAATCAAAACCAGGAGTTCTAATTCCACTTGGGAATCAGTCATATCATTGGTTTTCTTGACACTCACAATATTTGTCTAAATATGGAAGGAAAATAACCTGTTCTGCTTGTCCCAATTGTTCTAAAGCATTTTAAAACAGTAAAAAGAATATAGCAATGAGTGGATGGGTACCAGCAACCAATTTTTCATTTTAATCATATCTGGACTTGAATAAGTATATTGTGATGTGCCTTTATTAACAGCCTAATAAAAACCAGCATGAGAAATCTAGAAGTAAATTGATCTATTGTTGTCTACAGCCATACCACCCTGAACGCGCCTGATCTCGCCTGATCTTATTGTACAAACTTTGGCATAACCATCACAAGTTAAATTAGGAGGGAACTGTGTTCAATGCAGAGGAAGGGGAGGGAAAACACTGAATTAGGAGACTGGATCTCATTTCTGGCTGCACCAATCAGTAACTTGCTATGGGAAGATGAGCAAATGAAAGATTTCTTTGGGGCTGTTATTTGTAACATGAAGAGCTTGACCTATTTGGTTTTTCTGAACCCTTTCAATTATAAAGATGATTGCAGCCTATCCCATCAGTCTTTCTTCAACAATGAAATGGAAAGAAGAATTAGCCTTTAGTCTATTCATTATAAGCAGTGATTAGTATCAAATGTTAGCTTTGGAAATGAGATAATATCTTAACATTCAAATAATAATGCTATTTTATGTTATTAAAATTGTTATTAGTGGTTCTCAACCTTCCTAATGCTGCGACCCTTTAATACAGTTCCTCATGTTGTGGTGACCCCCAACCATAAAATTATTTTCGTTGCTACTTCATAACTGTAATTTTGCTACTGTTATAAATTGTAAATATCTGATATGCTATATGTGTTTTCCAATGGTCGCGACCCACAGGTTGAGAACCGCTGCTCTAGAACATACAATTCAAGAAAAGGCAGAGCCTTCTTCACTCTGCTGGGTGCTGTATGACGTGTAATAGGGAAATGAATCCTGTTTCAGATTGATGGCATCCAAGGCCTAGGGCTGACTATCACAAAGTTCCAATTTCCTTTTCCACTGTTTTTATTGTACTTTGGAAGTGGCTACTCTGAATCTTATTTATATAGTTACTAATACTCCAACCATAAGAGCCATTCACAGTCAGAAGCTTTGCTCTGGGGGTACTGTGCCCTAGCACTGCGGGAAAGAACCAGTGACAACCCCCAATATTAAATGAATCAGCAGCTACCGACTGAAATAGAAACTGATTTAAAGTAGTGGTCCCAGATAGGAATCTCTGAGGAGTGTGTTAAGGGCCGCTGGCAAAAAACATTTGGTTTAATTGTGTCAGCTGAAACTCAGAGCTAAGGCAGAGCCACGCCCTGAGGGCGGACCCAGTCAAGAGATTGGACACCACTGTCTGACTTTCCTGCCCAGTGTTAAAGGGATGGTTCTCATGATGTAACCAGGAACTCAAGGCCCACCCAGATGTGATGTAACTTCCTGTAATTCGAGTATATAATAAACTCCTTTTTTCAATATTTAATTTCTTTATTGATTAAGGTATTACATATGTGATCTCATTCTCCCCATAACCCCCCCCCCACTCATGCCCTCACCCCCCTGTTATCTGTGTCTATTGGTTGGGCTTATATGCATGCATACAAGTCCTTTGGTTGATCTCTCCCCCTTACCCTCCGGTGCTGGCTCTCTCTGTCTATCCTTCCACAAGAGGGCAGACGCACACCCAGCCCAAGCTTTTAATCTAATTTTGTGTCTGTCCTTTCATTTTTTTTCATTAATTCCAAAAGCGCCTCCTAACTTATATGAACCATTTCACGTCTCTCTCTCCGTGCGGGACGTGGAGAAGAGACCCCAGCCTGTCATAGGAGTGGGTAGGGGTAGTGAGTGGTGGCTGTATTTTATCCAATATACCAAGAATTGAATAGCATACTGTTTTATACATTTAAAAAAGGAAGAAAAAACATGCTTCCAACTAATCCATGGCAGTGATGTATCTCAGAGAAGTTAAAATGTGAATAAATGATCAGAGAATCTATGAAATACTGTAATATATATTGGGTTTTGTCATCCACTTGCCTGAATATATTTATCAAAGTAGATACTTTTTGACTATTAATAATTGTCCCAGTAGTCTCCAGTATTATGTACAATGATAGAAAACAATACTAAAGGAAAAATGGGCATTTTCTGTTGGATAGTATGTCATTTAACAACACTTCAGCCTCTTCCTAGAATGGGTGGTTTCTGACATTTTTCTTCCTTCTAGTCCTTTTTTTTTGGAGGCAGAGGTTTAGTGTATTAGGCTAAGGAATGTAATTCCTTGGGTTAACAGGTAAACAAATACCTGTTCTCTGAATTCATAGCTAATCCCCCTCTTAGCATGCTATGGGAGACATGTGACATCATTATTTCATAAAAAATAATAGAAGCATTAAACATTTACCAAGCAAAGTTGCTAATCTAAGGACCTACTCAAATCCCATACTGAATGCGAAGGTTTTATTGTCATCAATCCCACAGACTAACTGCAGCTCACTGTTGGGTAATATGAGCATTTCTAACAATGATAGTACTGCCTATCAAGTAGTCAAGCATCCCAAAGCAGCAGCACAGTAGCTTACAGGGCCACTAGGATCACTAATGCACATGCTAGGTTGGCTTGTCACATTTTCATTAATTCAAAGTTACTGTTCATACCTAAAACTTTGAACTACTGAGGGGATCTCCAATAAAGTCAGATGTAGGGTGCTGGCATTTCATTCCCCGTGTGGACATCCACTTAAGTAGTAGACTGGCTGATGTGTCTCACTCCCGATCCCTATGTCCATAAAGAAGGTCAGGGTACATTTGAGGAAAAGTGAGGTACAGACTGGGTTTAACACTGGAACAGATGCTTTCCAAGGATTAAAATGAGGTGGATACAGTGAAAAGCTTGAGCTCTGTTGCTGCTACTTTGCCCCACAGGGATGTTTGCTAGGCAAAGGGCCCCCAAAACAAGGAAGTGAGGTGTGCATATCAGGATAGGAGCCTGCTGGTGAATAAGGCAAAAGAGGACCACATGAGTCATAACTCCTATTCTTGGAACTACCATGTTGGGGGGAGGTTTCTTCTAGCGCTCCTTGAAAATGGTGTGCCTCCCACCCAACTTATAATTAATTACAACCAAGAAGAGGCTATCGCAATACCAATTAAGTTAAAGACATCTGTCCCCTTTCCCTTTCCTTCCCTCCAGGTCCTCAAAATACCAGGGAAGAGAGAAATGGGAAAGGCAAGGGACAAAGAGCAAATCATGTCTCTCTCCTCACTCCACAATCATAAAGTCAAGCTTTCCGCAGAAGCTGGAGGAGCAGAAGAGGAAAAGGTGAGCATAAAGTGAATACAACACTAAAGTTTTGAATGGAAGAGAATCGATAGTTTTTATGCTCAATGTGCCTACCTATAAAGGTAAGAGATCTGCCTGTCTCTAAGGGACAGAAGTTTAGATTGTCACTGTAGAGTAGCTATACAAGGCAAGGTCTTTTTACATATGAGACTCGTGTCTTATGTGACTTGAAACTCTGGTGCAGTATTGCCACGGAACCCTTGGGATTCTACCAGGTCCATTAGAAGAACTCCTTTGGCAAATTAATTCTAACAAGGAGCACTGATTAATTCTGAAATTCTATATGTGTCTTCAGTGCAATCATGGTTAAACAGCAGCATATTTTGAGGTTAAACAGAACATCACTAACTAGACACTGCTGTTTATAACATGCAGATTTATATTAAAGCTATGGTACAAATTATTCTACAAGTGAAAAAAAAGGACCCATCAGTCCTATAGTACCCAGTCTCTGAGGGAATGTCTGAAAATGATGAACTGACACTGGAAAAGGAAGCTGATGAGGTAACTTATCGTCAAGATTCACAGACTGCTGGCATGAGCAGGAGAGACCCACACTGGAGCCAAGCCCACTTCTTTGGGAATATACAGGCTGAAACTCTCCATATTAAGTTACTATCATAACCTGAAAAGAATAACTGAGATTACATAGGACTTATAATCTAAAAAAGAGCCCAGCTGACACAGAATAAAGTTCACCAATAATTTAAAAACAACACCAACAATATAATAAAAATTTTAACATAAATTATCATATAATGGACAAAGTGATACCTGCTTGTAGAAGTCAGACTTCCTCATCTCTCTAGTAGTTCATAATACCAACTGCATACAATAACATACTTTGGCCCCATTTAACTTATTCTCAAGAGATCCCCAAAAGAAATATAGAGAAAGCCTGTGGGAGTCCCAGGAAACCACCCTCATGTGGCTGAAGGGAAACTTCATATTTGGCTCCTCCCCCAGGAAGGTGTGGGATGGGTCTAGCAAAGGGAAAGTCTGGGAAGATTTGGATGGAAATGTATTGAGCATGGCTGGGAGATGGCTACAGG